CTCCTCCTCCTCCTCCTCCTCCTCCTCCTCCTCCTCCTCCTCCTCCTCCTCCTCCTCCTCCTCCTCCTCCTCCTCCTCCTTCAGGACGGAGAAACCGCGCTGGACGTCTCCATCAGACTGAAGTTCAGGAAGATCGTGAACTTGCTGAAGAAGGAGCGCTAACCTGGCAGATCACTAACCCTAAATTCAATGGCATTAAAACGCTTAAAAAGCTGCTGAAGGTTAATCCATAGGTTGATCCATAGGTTGATCCATAGGTTGATCCATAGGTTAATCCATAGGTTGATCCATAGGTTGATCCATAGGTTGATCCATAGGTTGATCCATAGGTTGATCCATAGGTTGATCCATAGGTTGATCCATAGGTTGATCCATAGGTTAATCCATAGGTTGATCCATAGGTTGATCCATAGGTTGATCCATAGGTTAATCCATAGGTTGATCCATAGGTTGATCCATAGGTTCATCCATAGCTTCATCCATAGCTTCATCCATAGGTTCATCCATAGGTTCATCCATAGGTTCATCCATAGGTTAATCCATAGCTTCATCCATAGGTTCATCCATAGGTTAATCCATAGCTTCATCCATAGGTTCATCCATAGGTTAATCCATAGCTTCATCCATAGGTTCATCCATAGGTTCATCCATAGGTTCATCCATAGGTTGATCCATAGGTTAATCCATAGGTTAATCCATAGGTTGATCCATAGGTTGATCCATAGGTTGATCCATAGGTTAATCCATAGGTTGATCCATAGGTTGATCCATAGGTTGATCCATAGGTTGATCCATAGGTTGATCCATAGGTTGATCCATAGGTTGATCCATAGGTTGATCCATAGGTTGATCCATAGGTTGATCCATAGGTTAATCCATAGGTTGATCCATAGGTTAATCCATAGGTTGATCCATAGGTTAATCCATAGGTTGATCCATAGGTTGATCCATAGGTTGATCCATAGGTTGATCCATAGGTTGATCCATAGGTTGATCCATAGGTTGATCCATAGGTTGATCCATAGGTTGATCCAATGTGTCTGTGTGACTTTGAAATGATTACTGATAATCCATCATAATATTTATGTCAATAAGAGTAGTTTTCATATATAGCTGCTATGATGCTATGAGAGTATGACAGCTTCCGGCTCCGGGGCATGCTGGCTATGCATCACTCATTCACCAATGGGTAATGTTTAGATGGATTTTAGGAACGTCCCCTCGATTCTATTGTCTGTGACGGTTCAAAAGAGCTGTCAATCATCAACATTTACCGATGGGTTCCAGAGATATGGAAAATCCACTCAAATGACCCCATTTTGCTAAACCTCTAAAAAGGTCAAATGTCACTTGTTTTGCATCAATCTTGATACAGGGTACTTATTATATGTTGTACTTTGGATTCCTAAAGCTTTTAGTCTACTAACCCATCATCCAAGGTTAGTTTTCACTAAGTCATGTTTTATTTTTGGGCGGACACAATAATTTAATTTTTTTTACTGTGTTCAATCTGAATTTCCTTTAAAATAAAAACATCTATATTGATTCTGACTCTTCTGCATCCAACTCACAGGTTTATCATTACTTTGAGAACAAAGATTATTAATGTTCCCCTTCTAGAAAATATGGTCATTTGTTCTTAAATCTGTTTGTAGATAAGATGTAACATACAGATCAATTTATACATTTGTAATTCTCTTAAATAATTAAATAAAACATGTAAAGAGTGTGTTGTTGTTATGATTTATTATTGTTCACATTTAAAAGATTAGAAAATGTCAGAAATTACAATAAAAATATGGTAAAAGTGAAGCCCCGCCCCCTACAAGGCTCCTGATTGGATGCGGTGGTTCCTCCTGATTGACAGCAGGATAAGCGTTGTGCACACAGGTTGAAAGGATAACATGTGACTTCCTGCAGACACTTTAAAGAGGTCTCCAGATGTTTTCTGAGGTAACAGCCCAGGTGTTTCAACAGGTGAACACCGACTGCATGCTAACAGCAAGCTAACGTGCTAACGAGCAGTAAACAGAACACAGTGAAGGCTGATGGGAAGGTCTTTCTTTAACCACTAATACTGCATGTTAGAAAGCTTTGAGTATAAATCCTGCATTACAAGTATAACAAAGAAATGTGTTACAAATATAAAAGTAATCATTAAAAAGCTAAATGTGCTTTTATGCTTTATCAACTGTGCTTATTATTCATGCAGTAACATGTAAGAGCTGATAGAGATAGGTCACAGTTTCATATTCAGTTATACATTCAAACCTATTATTCTGATCATGAATCAATAACCCATCATATTCAGATTCAACCCTTTCTGACATTTTATAGACCGACCGACTCATCTCAAAGATTAAAAGATGTTAAAAAAGGTCTATAGATAGAGCCCTGCTTAAAACACACACACGCTCACACACACACATGCTCACACACACATACACACACACACATGCTCACACACACATACACACACACACACACACACATACACACATACTAGGGCTGTGCGATTATGGCAAAAATCATAATCACGATTATTTGGGTCAATAATTGATATCACGATTATTTTGACGATTATTCATTGACCATTTATTGAACTTTAAAACAAATAATATTTGACCAATAAACAAGATCAACAAATATGTTGGAGCGCACTTCCAAAACCATACTAAACATATATTAATAATATGATAAATAAAAATAAATTAGACCAAAATAAATGAAATCAAACATGTTGCAGTGCACTGTCACAACCTACTGAAAACTCCTTAACATATAGCCAACATTTTGGTAAAACATATTCAACATATTCCACTCAGTTAAACGTTGAAGGCTGGCCAACCGTCATGGTCCAGAAGTAACAGGAAATAAATGTTGAACTACAATTTAAGACCAAATAAAAATGTTTAGGCCACCATGGCAAATGCTGGTAGGGCTGCTCATGTCATCTCTTAAAGATTGTTCGCAAGAAACACCAGCCTGTTTACATGGTCTGGTTTCAGAGATGAGCGCAGGCAGGGGACGATATTGCCACCTGTACTGAAGACCCTCAGCCACATGGGGTGACGCCGGCCAATCACAAAGCTTTGATGCGTTCAAGTGCATTATTCTGGCACAGGAAGATTATGTTACAGGACATTAACGATAAAACAGAATATTGTTGTTCTATTTTTAGACACATCTCGCGATCGACTGGTTGGGCACCGCTGGGCTAGACCATAGGTCTGTTGTGGTAGCAAAGGAGTCAGCTGAAGCCACATCTCTCTCAACTTCCCCACAGCATTTGTCATATAGCGCAGGCAGCGCAGACCTGCTGAAATAATACAGAGACGGCATCGCGTAACGCTTGTCCAACGTGTTGACAAGTTGCTTAAAGCCCTGGTTGCTAACAGTGCTAACTGGGCACATATCTTTAGCGATGTGAAATGTAATGGCACCTGTAATATCTCTGTGTCTCTGCGAGCTCGTCGCGTAGGCCGTTGCTCTGTACAATGCGTCCAGAATCGATGACGGTGATGATGTGGTGGATGAAGTCGAGCGGGCATCTGCTTTTTGTTGTATTACTGCCCGGTCGTATTGCACTTTGTGGTTGTATTTCAGCTGATTAAAGAGATTGGTTGTGTTAGCGTGTGGTGCCAACACAACCTGGTAACAAATCCTGCACTATACTTTGTTTTGCTCCACGTCGGACTCCTGAAAGCCAAAGTACTTCCAAATAGTGGAAATAGTTGTACCCTTCTTTTTAACGAGTTGCTGCACTTGATCTGACATATTCGCTCGCGCTGAACACTCACAACACATGTCACTCCCACGTGGCCGAGTGGGCTTTCAGGGAGGGGCGAAAGCGCACCCAGCAAAAATAATCGTATTTTGTCAATTATGCTGTTTTCATAATCGTCGCAAACCATAATCGTAATCGCGATTAAAATGCGATTAATTGCACAGCCCTAACACATACATACACACACATGCTCACACACACATACTCACACACACATGCTCACACACACATGCTCACACACACATACACACACATGCTCACACACACACACACACAGACACACACACACACTTTCCTCATTGAAACCTTTAGAGGTCCTGCTGCTGGTGTAAAGTCCAGTGGTCCCCACGCTGTGCTGCAGACGTGAACAGGCCCTCACACACTCGGTGTGGTGCTCTCTAGTGGCGGTCCTGCTGCAGCAGCTTCAGGATGGACGGGAACATCTGCTCCGGAGCGTCCAGACCCCAAATGAAGTCCAGATGGTCCCAGTGCTCGATGTGCTTATGGAACACCAGGTTAGATACCTGCAGGACGCCAGGAGGAGATCACAAGATAACATCAGAAGTACTTTATTGATCCCAATTTGGGAAGCTTTTGGCATTGTACGATAACAATTAAAAGAAATAAACAATCCAAAATGTAAACATTTCAATAGAAATAAAATGTTGAATTCCAGATGTGCTGTAACAGAATATGAAGCAGGATATTATATATACAGAAGTATGAGAGGAATGGAATATTAGATTGAATATAAATGTAAAATGTACAGTGTGATGTGTAATATATAAAGAAGATAATAAATACATGTTTAATATTGAAACCCTTTCAGAATAACAATGATGGAGATTATTCTGCTCGTTATTGTTGTCCTGGTTTAAAGCCTTCATTGTGAAGGAGAGAGAGTCTGACCTGAGTGAGGAGGACGGCCACGTCTTTGGGGTCCGCCAGCGTATCGTGTCCCCCTGAAAACAGCGCGGTGGGAACCTTCATGTCCTGGACCTTGTACTGAGGGGGAGTGGACTGAGGACGGACAGACAGGAAGTGTTGATTTATCTTTCCAGCACACTTAAAAGTCTGATGTTAGCTTGGACAGCAGGTCAGGAGGCAGCAGCTCTTCTTCATGTCATTTTAGTTTCCTGATGAATTAAACCCATTCTTAAGGTTACTGAGTAAGGGCTAATGTGCAGCAAGGCACACGTTCTTGTGTATGGGGAACAGAACACCCTTCATGCTGATCCAAGCTCCCTGATCCGCCTGTCGGGTGTTCTTTCCCCATAATGACCGCCTCGCTGCACATTACCCCGCTTATTACACGGCCAGATACTGAACAAACTAAGGAATCGACTCTCAATATTACAGGTGAGGTAAGTTTGAGAAACCGGCTCGAGATACACTTGTTGTTATATTCCATGGAATGCTCTCAACGTCCCGATAGCAATGAATATCTGAAGTGCTTTGAAGCCGTGGTTCTGTAGAAAGCTCGACCAATCATCTGAGCTGGCTAAAGTAACTGGATGGCCTACCTGCCTGTCAGCCTTCCATCTGGGCACACACTGATCTCGTGCCCTCATTGGTCATGTGCGCGTTCGTGTGTGTTGGAGGAGGGGCTCTGTGAGGAAGTAGCAGATTTCTTCCGGGTGTGTATTTTCAAATTCTAGCGCACTCGAGCTGGTTTCTCAAACTTACCTGCCCCACCTTTAATTGAAACGATTTAAAAAATGGTCGTATTTCTTCCGCTAAGAAAAAAAAATTTCCGTTCCACCAACGGCTGGAACTGCGACAACCACAACGTTATGGCAGCACTGTCGAACTCTGTTCACAGTTTCTGATCCACTAACAAGTCCTTAAACCCTGCAGAGCCCACCTCGTGTTCCTGTGAGTGTTCACTTCCTCTCTGCCTTCTTCTGGGGATTTATCTGGCATCCAGCACTCCGTCTTTTAACCTCATTTCCTTTCTCTTTCTTGATCCGCTAAGAAAAATAGTCCGTTGTTACCGTTTGAACTAACGTAGCAACGGCGGGAACTGCTTCGATAGTGTTTTTGAGGAGCTTTTTGATTACAGATTTGAAAACATCGCTGCTTGCTTTAAAAGTAGAACACTTCATGAAGTCAAACCTTGGGAAGTATCTAGATATCCTGCCCTAATGCCAAAGGAACTGCACACTGAATATGTGTCGCCGTTTGATGTCTATGTCTGGACCGCTGCGTAACAAGGAGGGTTTCCGCCCCGTTACTTCTCCGCTGTGTTCTTGTCGCTCTTGTCTTGTCAGTTAGGCCAAACTGTATACAGTTAAATCAACCAGACTTCTTTGTGCAGATGTGAGCGTCCTTAACAGCGGTCAATAAGTCCTTGACAGCGGTCTGTCTGTTCTGGATTAACAACGTGTCACGTGTTCTGTATTGACCAATCAGAATCGAGTATTCAACTAAGCCATGTAATAAAATGTTATTAATATTATTACCAAACGAATATTGTAATTTAAAAAAATTAAGAACAAATACAAATATATACTTAGGCAAGACACAGATTTGTTAAAAACCCAGTATATATTATTACTATACAAATATATCAGTAAGTGTTGTTTTGGTGTTACACCTTGTGTTTTCACATCATTATCTTAAACATTGTCAGTTTTCTTTTGTTGTTTTTGTTAAACTAGTTTCAGAACCTGAGTTCTAAGGAGCCAAACAAAACTAAGAAAGATATAAAGTATAAAAACTGTTGAGTGAACTGAAAGAGACTCTCAGGTGTTGCAGAGTCTCACCTGGTTGTAGTGTTTCATGTTCCCTCTGGCTCCAAAGTCGAAGGCCATCAGTTTCCCGCCGTGAACCGCCTGAAATCAACGAGGTGTTTAGGGTCCCGGTAATGAATAATGTACATCAGGGTCCCCATAAGTACACGAAGACAGGTATGTGTGTGTTACCTGGGCCCAGTGGACCATGTTCATGACCGAGGTCCCGGCAGGACAGTGTTCAGTGTAGACCGGCGTCCGAGACTGGAAACAAAAAACTGATATTTCAAAACTGAAATCATAACCCCGCCCCCCAGTGGTGGTTTTTATTTTAACGTACTACAATCTAAATATAAGATAAGATAAGAAAGGACTTTATTTATCGCGAAATAAATAGTTGTGAGAAATACAAAAATACAATAAACTAAGCAACATAAAAATAAAACTGTACACTAACATTGCAGTAAAAAGAGCAATTAAATAACGCTTTTTGTTGTTGTTGTTGTTGTTGTTACCCACCACGTTGAGGTTCTTCTCGTCGAAGCCGCAGAGGATGAAGAAAATGTTTCCGCACAGCTTGCTGAGAGGCTGCTCCGCACAAATGTGTTCTGCAAACCACTCGATCATGTGACTCTGAGGCAGGAAGTCCTGCCTACCAAACAGATCCTGGGGACAGGAAATCAATTAACCAATTAACATACAGGAAATCAATTAACAAATTAACATACATCAAATCAATTAACCAATTAACATCCAAACTGAGGAAAACGATAACTATTAGCTTGGTAACAATCCTGTGATATGAAGTCATTAGCAGGTCACGTGTAATTAGCTTTTTAGGTTTTATCTTTTTTAATCTATGATATTAGTTTAGTTAGCAGGTAATCTGATAGCATCTCGTTAGCATCTCGTTAGCATCTCGTACCCAGATGAAGAAGTCGGGCATGACGGAGAGTTTGGTCATCGGGCTGGAGGCGAAGGAGACGGTCGCTACTGGAGCTAAACCGATGAACATCTTGATCTTATTGGCCAGCTCGGGCAGCGTGGAGAACGCTATGAATGCTGGAAAATCAGAGACAGAGAGGCGGAGTCTGGTGTGGAAGCTCATTAACAAGTGTGTGTGTGTGTGTGTGTGTGTGTGTGTGTGTGTGTGTGTTACCGATGGTGGTTCCCTGAGAGTGTCCGATGTAGTAAATCTGCTCCTGACCCGTCACCTTCTGGATGTGGTTCACCGCGGCAGGGAGGTCCTTCAGCGCCATCTCATCATAACTACACACACACACACACACACACACACACACACACACACACACACACACACACACACACACACACACACACACACACACACACACACACACACACACACACACACACACACACACACACACACACACATACACACAGATTTAAAACGTCATAGTTCACTAAATTAATTAATTAACAGATTAATTTAGTCCTGCTCTGTTTTACATTTGTTATTAATAGTGTGTTTGATGGTGTTTACATGAGCGTGGGGCGTTCAAGAACTAGCGTGGGGCGTTCAAGAACTAGCGTGGGGTGTTCAAGAACTAAAACTAGCGTGGGGCGTTCAAGAACTAGCGTGGGGCGTTCAAGAACTAGCGTGGGGCGTTCAAGAACTAGAGTGGGGCGTTCAAGAACTAAAACTAGCGTGGGGCGTTCAAGAACTAGAGTGGGGCATTCAAGAACTAAAACTAGCGTGGGGCGTTCAAGAACTAGAGTGGGGCGTTCAAGAACTAAAACTAGCGTGGGGCGTTCAATAACTAGAGTGGGGCATTCAAGAACTAAAACTAGCGTGGGGTGTTCAAGAACTAAAACTAGCGTGGGGCGTTCAAGAACTAAAACTAGCGTGGGGCGTTCAAGAACTAAAACTAGCGTGGGGCGTTCAAGAACTAAAACTAGCGTGGGGCGTTCAAGAACTAAAACTAGCGTGGGGTGTTCAAGAACTAAAACTAGCGTGGGGCGTTCAAGAACTAAAACTAGCGTGGGGCGTTCA